GCGCTCATGCTCGCACTTATGCTCATCAATTCATCAATGCATTGTCACACACTTGCACTCTTGCACACTTGCCATTTATCAATTTCTTCTCTGACCCGCGTTAAACGCATCAGGTCCGACCGGTGTAAAACGCATCAGGTCCATCACTTCGAGATCGATCTCTGGCCCGCGTAAAACGCATCAGGCTCATGACACAAAACCCGCGTAAACGCCTTAGGTTGGTCATCTTCCGGCAATCCGGGCATCGTCCCGCGTAACACGCCTCAGGACGGGTTCAATACCCCGCGTAAACGCATCAGGGCTTTATGTGATCACCCATTCACATACACCAATTATTATCTGAACCCCGCATAAACGCATCAGGGCATTTTAGGTGATCACACACTCATGTCATTCGTGCACACTCGTATATGCACATGCCGTGCCAATGCTTGAGATGCACACTCATGGCCCTAACGTTCACACCTGGGCATTCAAGAAATTCACAATGGGCATTCAATTGCACAGCACCACACATATTCAATTTAATGAATCAATATGCCCAATTAGTCAATTAGTTCGAATCATACATGGTACATCACCGGGACACGAAAATCACGCCATTAAGCCGTTAAACTTGCACAGTCTAAGGTCTACGAAGCCTATCCTTTCTCGGCCACAAAAGTACTCAACATGGCATCACAAATGGGTCACAACTAAGGACAGTTCAGCCAATCAGTCAGTCAATCCAGACATTCCCGGCAATTACACAATTAAACCTCAAATTGATCGCGCCTTGCCCAATTAAATCCCGGTATGGACAGCCACCAATCAGGTCACTCACGGCCATTAAATATCCTCAAAATACTCTATTTGGCTCCCCGAAACATCGCCCAAATCAGCCACCATGAGGACCAAACTAGGCGTGCTCTATAATCCACAATTGAACCCGAACTTACTCCAAACTTGGGTCAATTCAATCCAATACGTCCAGCCATCGCACAGCCCAATCTAAGCCTCTAAACCTCAATTAAAATTATCACACCAAGCCACGAAATAGCCACAAAAACAGCTACCATACGGTCCACAAATTTCATCCTTCAAATCCACAATTTCACTCAAATAAAGGCATCTATGCTTCGCCACATCACAGCACTCTATAGTTCACTAAACCTCGATCAAATCATCATTCTCGGTTACCAAATGCGCCACAAAATTAACCCCCAACAGCCTCCACACGCTAACCCCTAAATTACCCTAATTAACCCCTAAAACCCATCTAGAAGCGTAAATTAGCCTAATTAGGGTTTAGGGTTGTACTCACTTGAAATCCTAAGCTTTAAACAAGGCTGAACATGCAGCAAGGGTGGCTGGGCAGCGGCGGGGCAGCAGCGGCGACGGGCGGCCTTCCCGGCGGCGCGTGCGGCGGCGGTTTGCGGACGGCGGCGGTCCCAGGCAGGGGAAGCTGATCACATGGCTGAAAGGGGGGGAGGAAGAGAGAGAGAGGGACGGCTGGATGGTGGTGGTGAGGTGAAGGGCGGCGTCACCGGCAGTGGCGCTCCGGCGAAGGGCGGCGGCGTGAGGCCGAGAGGGAGAGAGAGACTCACGGGAGAGGGAGAGAGGAGAGGGTGCCGGCTGACTTGGGGAGGAGGAAATGAAGGAGAGAGAGAGACTAGAGAGCTTATATGGACATTGGGTTAGTGGGGTTGGTGAACAACTTCTCATAATGCCCATCTTACCCTAATCCAAGGGCTAGGATTATAACAGCCCGAATTTCAATGTAATTCTGGGATCAATAAAACTGATATTATTTCGCATTTCATTTTAGTAAGTCTCGCCCAGAGCTGATCACTCTCAGGAATACTAACCAATGGGATATGGCTAACTAGAAAACGGTACGTGGACCGGGGACCCTATCGTGAAACGGACACCGATCATGAGAGACGCTGAGGGAATATTTTGGGCCTACGTGTGCCGATCGTAGGAAAGGGTAATGGATTGGGTTTGGCCAAGGCCTACGATGTACAATAGGGACGCAGGTGACTCTGCAAGACCGAAAGTACACGTGGCCAACCAGTCCTGAACTTGAACCGAACGATCGTGACCTCTGGAACTAGTGATAATTTCTCATTCTCTCAATGATTGAGACCATTACGATACTAATAGCCTTAGGTCGCGTAACCTCTAAACAGCCGCCACTTAGTGAAAGATCATGAAATTGAAAGTTTAGCGAGTTTTGTTCACGGAATTGGGCCCGGATTTCGGTGTCGATTTTCGAAGGCTTAAGAGACTATTTTTGGGAATTTGACATCATATTACGCTGGCCACACACGTTTGGAGTTAGTACGAGTAAAAATTGGAATTTCGGTCCGGGGGTGAAAAAATTACGATTTTGCCCCTCGGGACGCCAGCCTTGCTTTTCGAGGCCAAATGAGGTTATTTTTCGAGGCCGACGCCATTTTTGGGTGGCCACGCATACCAGGAGTCGTTATGGCCAAAAATTGAAATTTCGACAAAAATTTGGAAATTAATATTATTTTATTCCCGAAAATTTGCAGTCGATTTTCGAGGGCTTAAAAAGTGAATTTCGCGATTCCGACGCCATATTATGTTGGCCACGCACATATGGAACACATATGTGCAAAAATTGGAATTTCGCCCCGGGACCGGAAAAATGACGGTTTTGCCCCTGGGCTAATTTTTTTGGTCCGAATTTTTGGGATAATTTTGGGATAATTACCAGAGGTTATCAGCTGCATTATTGGCCTTATTGACCCTTTTGCCCCTCACTTTTTGGATAAGATTAAATTAGAACCGTTAGATTAGGGGCGTTTTGGTCAAAACCGCCGGATTTGCGACAAGTGTCGCCCCTAGGCTGCCATGTTTGACCAAGATAATACCCTCTCTCTCTGCTCTCACCTCACTCTCGGCCAAGACCACCAGAACAGCTCTCTCTCTCTATTTATCTCATTTTCTCTCCCGGCCAAGCTTCGCCGGAGCACACCGCCGGCCACCGGAGCGCGCGACGCCGGCCGCCGCCTTCGTGCCAATCCAACCACCACCCCGGCCTCGGCCTTGTCCCTGTCCGACCCATTTCTCTCTCTCTTTCCCTCTCTTTTTCTCTCCCGGGTTAGCACCGCCGCCGCGTCGGAGCCTCACCGAAGCTTCGCCGGAGCTCCGATCGCTGTTCCGTCGCCACCCAGCCGTCCAGCCACGCTATACGACGCCGACCGTACCCGTCCCCCGTACAATGTCCGTACGGATGACTGCAGCGCCGTACGGTCACCGTTCGTACGGCCGTCGCGCCGGCCACCGGCACCTCGCAGCCACCGTTCCCAGCCTGTCCATACAGTGTCCGTACATGGGGGGTACTGTTCACCGCGTCCGTACGGTCACTATTCACCCGTCCGTAAACCGTCCGCCGGGAATTCCGCCGCCGGTTTCACTGTTCACCAGTGATCGGCCGCCGTTCCCCACCGTCGTGACCTTAGATTAGGTGAGTAAAATTCCTAAACCCGGATTAGGATTGATAGTGCGATTTTCTGGACTGGCTTAGGTATTATCGGTGTATTTTGGATAGGCTTGAGTAGTATCAGTGTGTAATTTGGACTGGATTGAGGATGGTTTGGTGGAAATAACATCGGAGGAAATTAGTGGGTTTATTACGGATAATTGTTGGGCCCGGATTGAGGAAATAGCGGCTGTCCATATTTTTGAGGAATGTACCGGATTATAATGGACAGCTAGAATTATTAGCTGAATGGCCGGGATTACCCAGAATGATTGGCTGTTGATTGATTCGTGATCAATTGTGTTTAATTGTGAAATGCCATATTGCGTGCTTGTGTGGCTGAATCGTGCGGAGTGTGATTGGCCAATTGATGGCTTGAATTGTGTATTTGGAATTGGGCCGCACGGTATTAATAGGTCAAGTAAGCACGTGGCTTGTGAATTAGGCACTGTGAAATGACTCTGATTGAACTGTGTGCATGTGTCTATGTTATGTGGATGCTCATGTTGCATTTCATGGCACGCATTATGAATGCCGAGAATGAGGCTTGTGATGAAATTGTGTGAGACTGCGTGCCTGTCATGAGCATGTGATCACCTAAAATACCCTGATGCGTGTTACACGGGGTTCAGATAATAATGGGTTGTGTGATCACCTAAGGGCCTTCGGGTCGTGACCTTCGGGTTGATACCGTCCTCATGCACTTTGAAGCAGGACGATGCCCGGTACGTCGGGAAGACGACCATCCTCATGCACTTTGAAGCAAGCTCCGGTTCGTAAGGAGATCAGTGTTGCGCCTCATGCACTTTGAAGCAGGCTAGAGACACTGGGCCAGATCGGTTGCTGCGCCTCATGCACTTTGAAGCAGGCTAGACGCATCGAGCCGTGAATGTTGTTGACTCGAGTCGTCGTAATAAATAATAAATTGGGCGATTGCCAGTGTGGGCCAGTGGGCCGGGAAATGCACGTGACCTGTCGACGACATTTGCATGCAGGAACATGCATGGACTGGCATGCGAGTGTGTAAGACTCGGTGCATGAGCATGTGATTGGCGTACGTGTGATAATGTATGCCACGTACGTGCCGTGATTATTATTTATTGAACTGCCTAACCTGCAGGGTCAGAGAATTATTTGATTGTTGTTGCATTATGGTTTCAAATATTTATTTCCGGTCAGGAGATTGCATGCTAGCCTAGCCTAGGTTTAGGGGTTGAACTCACTGAGATTCATCTCACGGTTGTGTAAATCGAAACTTTTCAGACCCCCGACCGTAAGGATGGAGAGACCACCTCTTTTTGGGATCCCTCTGCAGATCCGGTAGTATACTACTACCTACCCCTCAGGAAATGGGGAGGCTTTTGTGAGATATCGATCTGAAGTAGTTGTGAATATAGGCGAGTACTTTTACCAGAAACAAGAGTACGTGGCATGGTGCCACCGGGATGCCAACGGAAATGAGGGAGAGCCCCTTAGGACCTTTGATATCCCGATCGATGATACTGGGTTGATGCAGCCAATTATAGCTGCTGGTGAGGTGATAGACCCTGAGGCCACGCCCGAGTGGATGAGGCAGGAGGAAGAGATGGATGAGGAGCCTGAAGTACTAGCGGAGGACCCCGAGCCTATGGATAAGGAGGAGGATGACGAACCCAACGCCATGGAGCAGGACATAGAGGAGGACGGAGAGGTTGCAGAGCTGGGATCAGACGAGGAGGGGTTCAAGATGTACCTGGACCCGGAATTGGAGCTGGACTCCGAGGACGAGCGAGCTCAGGCCATGGATTCGGAGGAGTCGGGGACTAGCGAGGATGCCTCCGAGGAGCTGTCAGATGATTCTACTGAGTCGTCTGATCCTGACTGGGAGCCATAGAGTCGCCCCGTGTCCTTAGCTAGTAATGAGAGCCGATATTGTTTGGACTGTGGCCCTCTTCCCAAGTTTGAGCCTAACCTCCTTAGCCGCTTACCACTTTTTGACCAAGTGGCTACTGATCATATGTGCCTTTTTGGTTTGTACTTGTAAATATTGTACAAAGGGTTTTTAATAGTAATATAAATGTGTAATTATTTTCTTCGATGGTTTTTTTTTTATGTATGGCTATCCTTGGCTCATATTGTAGTTGTCTGGGTTTGTTTATTTTATGCTTCCGCTTGTGTTTGATCTCTGTATGGGTGTGGATCGGCGACGCTTCCTGGGAAGTCACAGTCAAACGACCGAAGGTGGGATGCTCGCGTTTCGTGGGGTACGGGGCGTGACATCCCCTCTTGTTTTGGTATCAGAGTAAGGTCAGCTCGGTCCAATTAGGTCGAAGTCTGGAGTGATAAGGAGCGATGAGACCTGGGTAGCCAGTAGGGTGACCTCGTGTGCTACATGCATCTCCCGACAGTTGTGTATTGACTGTGTGTTTACCAGTGTGACCCTTGCAGTGCAGGTGCTGCAGGACCTGAGGTGAGTATGCAAATCCCTTGGGTGATGTGTTGGATAAATGTTAGGCCGCATGCTGAGTGTTGATTGTTGTTTGATACCTACCTAGGACTTAGACTGGAATAGATTGGTTTAAGTCTTTAATTCCTTAATGGAATTATAACAGGTAGTGGGGTAGCTGAGTGGTGAGAATGAATAGAAGAAAGGGTAAGAAACCCCAGGGTCAGCCTAGTTCAGGAGGCTAGGAGGCCCGAGACCGTCGGCTAAAGGACATTATTTAAACCCCAAGTAGGAGAAGGGGGAAGGAGCCCCAAGCCTAGACTAGCGAAGGAGCCCGTGAGGCTAGAGACCCAAGGTTTGATGATGTGATAAATACCCTACGGGAGATAGGGCATGTTATGGGATTGCAAGCTCGGGAAAGGGGCCGCTGTTATTGCCTAGGCTGCTGAGGTTGCAGTGATTACTGCTATGAATGGGAATGATGCCAGTTAGGCCAAGTGCACCGATTGGTGGAATAATTTTTCGAGTTGAACTCTCTTAAGTTCAATGGTAAGGGTGAACCCGAGGCTACACCGAGATTGATAGCAGAATTTGAGAAAGCCTTTGAAACATCGGAGTGCACCGAGATTGAGAAAGTAAATTTGGCGGCGTATCAGTTACAGAATCATGCCAGTTATAGATGGCCTTCCACCAGGGATAGGATATCCCAAATGAGTATAGCCCAAATTTGGGCCATGATTGTTAAGAGTTCCTATAGGAAAATATTTCCCGGAGAGTGCCAAAAAAAGGGGAACTGATGGAGTTTATGTGACTTCGCCGAGGGCAGACGACTGTGGAATGATATGAAATGGAGTCTGCTTGGCTGGTTGAGAATCTACAGGACAAGGTTCGGAAAATCAGGAATGATGGGGAAGTGTATGAATGAGCTCAAGTAATAGAGCAAGATCAGTTGGAAAGTGCAACTACTTTTGGATAGTGGTTTGCTCAAATTAAGGATAATCGCCGCTTCGGGAAGAGGCAGATGGTGGGGAAACAGGTGATTCGTCCCACTGGTTAGGAAGGATATCAGAAAGCCGAACCGTCAAACGAGCCGTTCTGAGGCTTGCATCGAAAGTGGGAGTCAGAACAACTAGTTAAACTGGATGGAATTGAGTCTGTTGTGCTTGAGTCACGTTTGGTGTGACGATTCCTCGAATGATAAGGTGATGGTGTCGTTGAGGTGTCTTAACTGTGAGACAGTAATTGATAGTAGAGAAAGGAGTGTCGACTTGGCAGTATTGGTCATGTACGATTTTGTCGTGGAAATTGATACGGAGTGATTTGTAAGGCAGAAAGTTGTAATGAATTCTGACAATAGGGTAATCGAGTTTTGTCTGAATGGACGTCTTAGGTTTGGAGTTCAGGAAAGTCGAGGAGGAATATCGATTTCTTGGATGCCCTTGCTTGAGGTGATTAGATGTCAGATGAAGGTTGTGAAGGACGCTTAGTGGGCGTGGTTAACCCGATCGTGACGGAACTAAAGTCGGAAAAATTAACGAGGTGTGTAACCTTTCGAGGTCTTTCCTTAGAAATTTTGGGATTGCCACTAGAACGAGAAGTGGAATCGTGACAGATTTGCCTAGGAGTTGAACTGATTTCGAGGGTGTTGTATTGAGTGTCCTTGCTGGAAATCAAAAGAATTGAAAGTTCAGATGTAAGAACTCATGGACAAAAATTTTATTCGCCCTAGTATATTTCTATGGGGAGCTCCTGTATTTGGTATGAGGAAAAAGGACAGGACTTTGAGATGGTACGTAAATTACCGGCAATTGAACCAGGTGACAAAAAGGAATAAGTACCCATTACCGAGGATCGATAGCCTGTTCGATCAATTGCAAGGAACTTTAGTGTCCTTTGAGGTTGAATTATGGACGGATGTCACCGGCAAAGAATTCATAACGAGAATGCTCCTAAGATTGTGTTACGGACTGGAAATTTTCCGTTAAGGATATGAAAAAGATGATGTAATTCGACTGCTTAACAGACGAGGTATGGGCATTATGCATTCATAATAACGCCCATTGGTCTAAGGGATGCCTCGCTGCTTTTATGGACCTAATGAACTGAGTGTTCCAAGAATTATGGGATTAGTTCGTAACGGTTTTCGTTGACAATGTATTGGGAGACTCAAGGAGCCTGGAAGCAAGAAGCAAGTCTGACTGAGGAATTGCGAACCTTGAGAGAACACGCATTCCACGCCAAGTATGGCAAGTTCGAATTTTAGCTTAATAGAATAACGTTCCTTGGACATATAATGTAAGGGAAATGGAATTGCAGTGAACCCAACTAAGATCGAGGTGATGACTAAGTGGCCAAGACTGATGCCAATAACGGAGGTTAGCGGTGTCTTAGATTTGGCTGACGATTATCGACGTTTTGTGGAAGATTCTCGTCGATAGCCGTGCTACGGGCACGACTGATTGGGAAGGAAATCCGTTTGAATGGAATGATTACTGTGAATGGAGTTCCCAAGAGCTGAAGCGTAGGCTGATAATTGCCCCGGTATTGAATATTCAACCCGGAACAGGAGGATCCGAGGTCTATAGTGACGCTTCATTAAGAAGACTTGAGTGTGTGTTGATGCAACACGGTAGAGTTGTAGCATATGTGTCGCGCCATTTGAGGTCGTACGAGATGATTTATCTGATGCACAACGGAGAATTGATTGCGATGACTGGTGTCGCCATGGAAAGGCTAGACGAGTAATTGATGTGTTAAGTCGTGAGCCAGTGATGGCGTGTATGATGGTTAGAGAGTGAGCCTTGTCGGACAGGCTCAGAGACTTGGAAGTTAAATTTAAGGTGAACCGAATGTTGAATCTGTTGACCGCCTTGAGGATTAGTTTGGAAATCTAGGCCCAGAACAAGGAATGGCAATCTATGGATCACGAGATTCAAAAAAGTCGGTGAGATAGATACCGATAAGCGGAAGTCAGATTTCCCTATATTCGGGGATAGAAATCTTGAGGTTCTAGGAATGATTATGTGTACCTGATGAGGCGAAACTCGAAGAAGAAAAATTTGAATGGAAATTTCCGCAGTAAGTATAGTGTCCACTCGAGTAGCACTAAGGTGTGTCAGGACTTGCGGCAATATTACCGGTGGAATAGAATGAGGGTAAATGTGGCCAAGTGTGTGGGCAGGTGTTTGACGTGCCTATAAGTGAGGACACAGCACGGTAAGCCTAGAGGGCTATTATGACCGTTTCTGAATGGAAATGTGACATGATCCCAAGGATGTTGTAACGGGATTAACGTGAAGCCAGAGAAGACCCGATTCCATCGGAATAATAGTTGATAGACTGACAAAGTCAGTGCACTTCTTGACAATACGAACGGACTTTGAGTCGGATAGATAAGTAGAGTCATCAGAAAAGTTATGCCGATCGAAGACGTCGACCTTTAGAGTTTCAGATTGGAGATCACGTGTTTCTTAAGGTGTCGCCTATGAAGGGATTATCTAGATTCCGCAAGAAGGGAAAACTGAGTCCTAGGTATGTCGGGCCATTTGAGATTTTGGAAAAGATTGGAGATATGGCTTACCGACTTGCCTTGCCGCCCAATTTGTCCCAAGTACACAGTGTTTTCCACGTGTCGATGTTAAGAAAGTATGAACCAGACCAGACTCATGTCTTAAGGTATGAGGAGATAGAAGTGGACGATAAAGTGTCGTACGTGGAAAGACCAGTCAGGATTGAAGATAGAAAACAGCGTGTGTTGAGAAACAAAACGATTCCGATGGTCAAAGTTGTCTGAGAGCACCACGGAACAGAAGGTGCCACGTGGGAAAGTGAAGAAGCCATGAGACGTCAACACCCCCAGTTATTTGAGTAGATAAGGATAGATCACAAATTTCGAGGACGAAATTTTTGTAAGGAGGGAAGAATTGTAACAGCCCGAATTTCAATGTAATTCTGGGATCAATAAAACTGATATTATTTCGCATTTCATTTTAGTAAGTCTCGCCCAGAGCTGATCACTCTCGGGAATACTAACCAATGGGGTATGGCTAACTAGAAAACGGTACGTGGACCGGGGACCCTATCGTGAAACGGACACCGATCATGAGAGACGCTGAGGGAATATTTTGGGCCCACGTGTGCCGATCGTAGGAAAGGGTAATGGATTGGGTTTGGCCAAGGCCTACGATGTACAATAGGGACGCAGGTGACTCTGCAAGACCGAAAGTACACGTGGCCAACCAGTCCTGAACTTGAACCGAACGATCGTGACCTCTGGAACTAGTGATAATTTCTCATTCTCTCAATGATCGAGACCATTACGATACTGATAGCCTTAGGTCGATACGCGTAACCTCTAAACAGCCGCCCGTTAGTGAGAGACCCTGAAATTGAAAGTTTAGCGAGTTTTGTTCACGGAATTGGGCCCGAATTTTGGTGTCGATTTTCGA